TCTAATGTTTACATTCTTGTAGCAAACTTTCTCACGCACTTTATGTAAATAACTTCTTGTTTTGCATTCTTTTGTGGAGGAGGAGAATGTTGATGGGCTGTTGGTTTGTCCAGTGTCATTGGAGAGGTGGCACTGTCACCCTCCAATCCACTGTCATTTTTGGAAATCTNTCAAAATCTTTTGCCAGACAATCATTTATAAGGCTTTCCTGTTTCATCTTCCCCAACAAGGGACCTTGCCATGGGAGCTCAGGCTGCTGCTGCTGCCTGAATTAAATACAGCCATTTCCCAATTTCACCTGAATTTGCCTTTCTTTTATTCAAAACCATGATTTTGAAAAGTAATGCTCACAAAATGGTTTTGGTAGGACGTGTAAAATCTGTCTTTCCATCTGAAATTCCTGCTGATTGATTTGATTCCTGAGCTGTGCTTTGCTCTGGCAAGAGGCCTCCTCTCCTAGCAGGGAGCGTGTGCTGATCCTGCTCTGCCTTGCTGGGAGCTTGGGAAAGCAAACATATGGCAAACCCAGAAAGGTGTGGATCCAAACGTGTCCCAGGCTCTCCTGCAGGCCAGGAGCTCACTCCCAGGGCAGTGTGACAGGAGGGGCCAGGCCTGGCCTCCAGAACAGCTCCCTGGAGCTGGGATAGTCCAGAGCGCTCCCACTGAGCCCAGCTGTCCGTGCTGGGCCAGCTCTGTGCTACAGCATCGCGTGAGATTGGCAAAACATGGTTCCTCTTCTTCCTTAAGGTTGAGATTGGCAAAACATGGTTCCTCTTCTTCCTTGAGGCCCATCTGAGCAGCCTCTGCTTCTCCCAGGGGTGGGCCAGCATGGGAGAGGCATTTTCACCTGCCTAAAGCTGGGTGCTCCCTCATGGGATAGCAGGGCTCGCTCAGATCCCAGCTTCCAGCTGTGCTTTCCAAACAGGAGCAGCTTTGCCTGCTGGGAGAGCACACAGAGGAGAATGAGCCCTTCCAAACACCCCATCCTGTCCCAGGCTGGAGCCAGAGCTCCTCTCTGCTGGAGCTGGGCACTGAGGAATCCTTGCCCCTCACGCTGTGGGCTGGGCTGTTGCACACAGAGCGTGTTCTCCTCCCTGTCAGATGGATGCTGCTCTGCTGGAGCTCTGGCCTGCTCTGCTGCCTTGTCTCTGAGCCCCTGCAATGTGTTGTTTGTAAAATCAGATGATGCAATCTCTGCTGGAGAAGGGGAGAGGAAGGACTTGCAGCACCATTAGGATCCTAGCAGGGGTATGGAATGAGGTACAGTTAATGTGTTGGAACAAGTGTGTTTTGGCTTTTTCTGGGATTAATGTGTACCTGATGGGTTTGTTCCTGATGGCCATCAGCTGGGAGGAACTTGCTCTGGCTTCTTCTCAAACCTGAGATCAGTCTTTCCCCTTTCCTTCTGTTTTCACTTGCTGCATTTTTTGTTTATTCATGTACTTTGCTTTATCTCTTAATCTTGAGAAATAAGGATAAACCCCACACTCCTTTGTGAAATGAGATGGGTTTAAAACTTAACACCATCAGCTCTGACTGGTATTGTGGCCTTGTGGCAGTGCTTGGAACCCTAAGGTCTTTGTCTGTAGTTCTGCTTCTGGCTGGGTCTTCAATTTATTTCTCTTCAAGATGCTTTGTCTGGGTGGTCAGTAATGTCCAGAAATCAGATGTACCTAAAAACTGGCCACATCAGTTGCATTTTTGAAGTAAAGCAGATCCTGGTTGCTGGGTGCTTGCTTTGAATATTGCTGATTAAGTCAAGGGTATGAACCTGTAATTCCCTGTCTTTTTTGAATTGCCACACATGAAATCTCCTCTGAAATCTTTGCAGCAATAATCCTTTCCTTGATCCTGGTAATAATATCACCCCTGGTCCATAGTGGATGTGGGCATGTACCAGGGCTGGGATGGCTTAGCAGGGTGACCAACATGGGTGTGCCATGGAGGCACAGAGAGAGGAGCTTTCTCCAAATTTCACTTTTATTTTACATCATA